CAATTATTTCAGAGTTACGTATCATCCAATTGAACCAGGGTATGGCTTTGACTTTGCTAAGAGAAATGTGCATGTGTAGTGTTTCCTGCTTCAGAACAGTGGATCTGAAGTTAATCCATTTCCTAACAGAGAGCAATTGCCAGTGTTGGGTGTGTGTACTAAGGCACTGTGATGCAGCTATTCATCTTTTTCTCCCTACCCCATCCATCCACTTCTGAGCAATATTTTCCTAACCCCTGGGTCAAAACCTACTAGTCATAGAAGTCATGTGTTTCAAACAAAGAGGGAACAGAAATCCAACCAATTAGCTAGCAGTAGCCTGGTTCACTATGAACTCTCAAAACAGCTTGGGGGATGATGAAAGGTCTTAGAAAGCACGGAAGAAAGAGAAATCACTGAATTGAGAGGAGAGAAAAATAAAATTCTCATTCTCATTCTCTCTCTCTCTCTCTCTCTCTCTCTCTCTCTCTCTCTCTCTCTCTCTGCTGTGTTTGTCTGAGAAAACATTTCTGATGGTGACACATTAAATATAACACAAAATTTAAAATTGCGCTTGCACCAAAGGAAAAGATGAAATTAAAGTGTGGGAAGAAAAAAGTCAGACAAATTAGGTAAAAAAAATTTGAATGGTAAAGCTAGAGTCTTCAAAAGGAAAATGTCCATAGTTTATTAATGTTGTGCAACTAACCAGTCAAAAGGCAGTTGGGGTGCCGGTGAAGGTGAAACTTAAGAATACCTTCATAAAACGCCATGTAATATAGATGAAGCATAGTGAACCATGCATTTCCATCCTGGAACAACCACGGAGCACATGAGCCGGGCTCCTTTGTCCCCATGACCTGCAATGCCCTATAACGTCTCATTTGTCTTCTTTAAATTATGTAATCCTGCCCAGAGGCTAATCACTAGAGGACATGGAAAATAGTGCTGCCTGTGAATTTCAAAGATGAGTGGCAGATATCTAAACAAAATCCAATATTTACATCTATGATACCTATATGTCCAAGTATCTTTGTATCTATGTTTATGTTTGTATATATGAATATAAAATATACACACAGACATATATAAATATATAAGTAAAATGGAGAGAAAAGGAAATTAAATTGAGAAAACCAATATTTAAAGTCCTCATGCACCTGTTTCAAGTGGAAGCCTCTGATGATGGCTAAATAAGGCACCAATCTATGACTATTGAAGAGTATCATTAGGAGCCATTTTATTGCCATTTATATTTTTTATTTTAATTATTTATTTTTTATTTTACATATCAATCCTAGTTCCTTCTCCCTCCCTTCCTTCCTCCCTCCCTCACATACACCCTGACCACCCTCTCCTCCCATCCCCCCACCCCAATTCCATATGTAGGACAATGCCATCCAGGTGGGGTCGTGTAAATATGTCAATTGGGGTCGGGACTAGGCCTTCCCTCCTGCCTCTAGGTTAAGGCAGTATCCCTCCATGGGGGATGTGTCCTCAAGGTCCATTTGTGCACCAGGAATACATCCTGGTTCCACTGTCTGAGGTTCCTTAGACTTCTCAGTCCTTCTAGCTGAGACCCATATTCAGGGGGGCCTGAGTCAGTCCATGCTGGATTCCCAGCTATCAGTCTGGGGGCACGTTAGCTCCTCCTTGTTCAGGTCAGCTGTCTCCATGTGTTTCTGCAACCTGGTCTCGTCCTCTCCCTCTGCATCTGGATTCTAGTGTATAGTTATGGGCGTTTGCTTCTGTTTCCGACAGGTACTAGATGAGGGCTCCATGATGATGGATAAGTTTAATGCCGGGAAAGGCATTAAAATGGGAATTAGTTTACCACAGGACTCGGTAATCCCCCTCTTAGGCATATAGCCAAATGATCCACATCCATGCAACAAAGACATGTGCTCAACTATGTTCATAGCAGCATTATTTGTAATAGCAAGAACCTGGACGCAACCTACATGCCCCTCAACTGAAGAATGGATAAAGAAGATGTGGCACATCTACACAATGGAATACTGTGCAGAAAGAAATAATGGAATCTTGAAATTCGCAGGCAAGTGGATGGCAATTGAAGAAACCATCCTGAATGAGGTAACCCAGTCACAAAAAGAGGAACATGGTATGTACTCGCTCATAAATGGATTTTAGACCTAGAGTAAAGGATTGCCAGCCTATAATTCACACCACCAGAGGAACTAGGATACAAGATGTATTCAAAGAGATTCATATAAAGTTTCTCACAGAAGGGGGAAGGGACGAGTCCACCAGAGCACATGGGAAGTGGGGGGGGGCAGCGAATGGAGAGAGAAGTAGGAGAAAGAGAAGGGAAGAAGAGGAAAACACATGAGACTAGGAAGATTGTGCCAGGATAGGAATAGGAGAGAGAGAGAGAGAGAGAGAGAGAGAGAGAGAGAGAGAGAGAGAGAGAGAGAGAGAATAAAAGAGGGGACCATTATTGGTTTGAAGAGAAATCTGAACCTAAAGAAAGGTCTAGAGACCTACAAGAGTGCCGCCAACTAACAATTTGAGCAACCATGGAAAGGCTACCATAAATGTTATTTATATTTTAAGCCCAGTAGTCTTTGGTTTTACCCTAGGTTTCTGGGCTATCTAGTGTCTGGTACTTGGTCACACAAACAGGGTCAAGTATGGGTTTTATCTCATTGTGTGGGGCTTACGTCAAATCAAACACTGCCTGGTAATTTCCACAACCTTTACCCTAGCATATTTTCTAGGCAGCACAGACTGTAGATCACAAGTTTTGTGGCTGGCTCGATGTTTATGTTTCTCTTTGGTAACATACAGAGCACTTTCCCATGGCAAAGACACTAGAATATGGAGGTAATCCTTCTAAGAAACATTACACACACACACACACACACACACACACACACACACACACACACATATATAGATATATATAAGAAACCTTGGAAGACACAGCTCAAAAATACAATGTCTCCATCAAATCCCACCTCTATGAGCTCAGGGAACACAGTAGAAGAGGAGGCAGGAGTATGGGAACCAGAGGAGATGGAAAATACCAAGACCTTCTAAATCAACTGAGCAAAGCTCATATGAACTCAGAGACTAAAGCAGCAAGTATCTAACCTACACAGGTCTGCATCAGGTACTCAGTGTAGATATTATAATTTTCAGCTTAGTATTTTTATGGTTCTCCTGAATGTGTGAATGAGTGATTATCTGATTCTTGTGCCTTCTCTTAGGACTCTTTTTCCTCTATTGGTTTGCCTTCCCAACTTCAATGTAATGGTTTTTGGTTGATCTTACTGTATTTTATTTATTATGTTTTGATGTTTAAAAACAGAAGACATAGAAAAAATTTAAAACTGGGACAAAAGGAAGTCCTCAATTATTCCTGGATATAACTATCCAGAAAATACACTTACAAAATAGAATGCCTTATTTGCAAAGTGCCATGGCTGGAGGTTTAATACGATTTATGGTAATAATGCATGCCATAAATGATTTTCTGAATATTTTGTTTGAGATAGCCCCTAACATTCAGAATAAGAACACTATGGAAAGTACTTCTCTGTGATAAGACGCAGTAAGCAAATGCTAGGAAAACCACAGAGAATGGCAACCTGGAGAAACACATGACGGCTTGAAAATTTAATTAAATTCATCAAAGATGTTGCTTATTACTTTTATTTAGCAAAGGCTCAGACTCATAAACAATAGAAAATGATTTCTTTTGTTAAATAAAAATTTACTTTGTTATAACAAGCTATTCTATGCAAATAGGGCAAACAAGGCCTTCGTATAACTAAGATGTAGAAGATCTGCAGAGACAAAATGTGAGTAGAAGCAAACAGGGCAGAGTAAATTAAATAAACAGATACAGGGGATGAAGATCAGGACACCCACCGACAAACACAGGTCAAGTAAAGAACTCCAGGAAATGAAGGCTAGAAAATCTGAAGCTAATGGATTTCCTATAATCAAAGAGACAGCAGGCAACAAAAGTCAAAGAGCAGAGAGGAACCAAATAACCCCAGTTTCTCAATAGTATCTCTGTTTTTGAAAATGAACAGTAAAAATCCAGACATATTTATAATCTCTGCCTCAGCCACCCAACATCATTGCAAAAGCCTGTGCTACAGCCATTCATGGATGCTATATTTTTTATGTTAATCTCACCCATTTTATTTTTCTGTATTGATAGGCACAGTACTCGTGGCAACAACTTTTGCATCCAAAATCTTAAAAAAATAGATTTTAAAACCCAAATCAAATGTATGGCAGACAGAAACACAGCAATACTTAGGGAATGAGCTAATTTTAAAAAATTGAATTTTAAATCCCAAATCAAATGTATGGCAGACAGAAACAGCAATCCTCAGGGAATGAGCTAATTAATACCTTGAAAATGGTGAGACCTCAACTACCTCTATTGCTTTTGGTCATAGCATTCTATAGAACATCAAATGCTCTTTACACTATTCTTTATTGGCTTCTAGATATTTGGGGAGCTTATGGGCATGCCAATGTCACTGTAAAGATAATTGTTTGTGTTGCTGTCCAAGCCATTCATGTTCCTTAATAGAATGCATGTGTCAATGTGGGTGTGAGAGTGAATAAGGGGATGGGTGTGGGGCTGGGGTTGGGTGTGTGACTTAGAGGTTGAGAGACAGCACACAGTGAAAATATATAATAGAGTATTTACTTGGAGTGAAAAAGGACAAATTCTCTCCCTATTTTCTTTTTTAAAGTCTATTTTATGTGGCCAAATCTGAGTTGGAACTCATTCTATCTCAAGTTGGGTTTGAACGCATAATCATCTGTCTCAGCCTGGTAGTGCTAGGGTTACAGATGTATACCTCCATGCCAATATTTTCCAAAAGTAAGTTTAAAAGTTCATGTAGCCAGAGCTAAAAAATATCTCATGTTGGAAACTAGTACATTATATGTTTTTTATGTTACTTAATAACCTATGTTCAAGAATTCCTCAAAAACAAATAAATAATCTACAGACATGTAAAACAGCATCCTACCTGACAGGACCACTTCAATCAGATCTCCTTCCTGGATATCACTTGCCATTTTGACCAGCTGAAGGATGTTTTCGGAGGTAGGATCATGACGGAAAAGCAGGATCTTATCATACAGTCCATAGAAACCACATTCAGGGAACTGCAAATGCAATACCACAATAGTATAAATGTCAAAAATCTTCCTAAATATTTTGTCTTATTAGAAAAATAAAATAAATGTCAGGGCACAAATATAAGCTAATTAGAAAAAGTACACATATCTAGAATATTCAATTAAAAGAAAATACATGTAAGACTTGGTATTCAAAGACTCCTTTAGTAGGAGAGAAGTTGTGCATTGGAAGGCTAGTAATGAATGACCAAGTAATTTACTAATTAACAAACTACAAAAAAAAAAAAGAAAGAAAGAAAAACATTGAAACAAGTTTCTATAGTAACATGATTAACAACCTTACTAGGCATAGTAGGTGGTGAGGGGATGAGAATGAATGCTCTCAACTAAACCAGAAATTAGCAAATTAGTTTGTTAATAATCTGTTACATATAACTTGACAATTTGGCAAAACACAAAACAAACAAATGAACAAACAAAAAATACAAAAATAAGTCTGTCTGTTTTGACATATTCCAGAACAGACATGAGTCAATGACATAGAACATGCTGTAGGTACTGAAGTGAGACCTATATCCTCTGAACCATGACAGAATAAGGCTAGACAACAGTACTTGCCTTTGGCTCTCATCACTACATTCCTTGCTTTTCTCCAAACTGTATATCTAAGGTCATATGAGAACTATCTAAAAAGGGTTTTCTGATCCAGTCAGGTGGATTTTCACTAAAACAAATGAGCTACTGATAAAAATTAAACTTTGGTAGATGAAGACTTCTGCTAACACATGGCTTTCTGGAGGGATTACTGATCACTCAAATAGCAAGCATTGTAATCTGGTGCAAACAGTCACAAGGCAGAGAAAGAGAAGACTACATTTTTCACACTGGAATTGGTGTTGATCTCAAACCCATGTCAATGTATGTGACAGAAAATCAGAGGCATAGAATCCCATCATTCAGAAACCAGAAGGAAAACTGGGAAATTGTGGGTTCTGAGCTAGCCTCTGTCACATACTGAGTTCCAAATGGCCTGGACTGCATAGGAAGACCTGTCTCAACACTGAAAAATTTTAAAAAGTGGTCTGCCTTCTACCTTCTATTCTATCTGACATTCTGAAGAAAAGTGCAGTGTATTATGAATCCATTTTTTCTTATTCATAAATTTAAGGGCTTCATTCATGTGAGTCTTTTTGTATAAATTAAAAATAAATATATTCAGAACATTCTGGGCTTTTAGGAGTCTATGTTGATGACAAGGCTTAAAACTACTTCTGCATGTCTCTTAGACTTTCCTAAAATAAACAGAGCAGCTGAAATGATGTCACCACTTCCACTGTGCTAATTAAAAGGGAAAAAGTAGTTCACTTTTAAAAAATGTCCTCAATAATATCATCATAGCACTAGAGAACAAAGAGAAAACGGAAATACCACTTTCCTCAGTCTCAAAAACAATAGACAAGTCACAATTATTAAAAAAAAAAAAAACCTACTTCCTTAAAGAATAAAGCATACTACATAAAAGGCACATAAGCACGTAGATCTAACCATTTTAACAAACATCAATAACCATGCTAACAAAATTATAATCAAGCCATGACACTTGGTCACTGAGCTATTCCTCTGCCATCCACTTGCCACATAACCTAACCATGGGTACATAGTCCCTCTCTACCCTACAGACTAGCTCATGTTACCACATTTCACATACAGGAAACAGCACAGCATTTTCTCGGTACTTTTAAACCATATGGCTTTCTTTGTTAGTTATAATATTACTGGATTCATTTGTACACATTGCATAGGTATTGTTTATTTGTATTTCATTAAATGGATCATGCATAATTGTCCATTCACCCACAAAGGGACATCTGTTTTTTTCCCTTAATTTATGGCGGTTACAAATAAAAAGTTTACAAACATTTATGTTCAAGTATTTTACTGGGCATATGCTCTCATTTCATGGGGGGTAAACACCTAGGAGTAGTATTGCTGGTTCTCATGATGAGTGTGTATGTGTCCATCTTTATACCAGTGTCACACTGGATTTATAATTACCATAGCTCTATCCAAACCTAGAAATAAGATATAACTCCTCCTTCCAGTTCCTTCCCTGCAAAGTAATTTGGAAATTATATATATTAAATAATACTTCTCATGATACACATGGATTTAAATATCACCTTATCAATTTCTGCACATACACAAAAAATTTTCATGATTTTTCAGTGATTATACATAGACGTATTTGGGAAGAAATACATTATTTCACATAGGGTCTTTCAATTAGGAGCCAAATAGGCCCATTTTAATTTATCTGAACAATATTTTGTAGTTTTCGGTATCTATATCTTGTGTCTATATATTGAAGTGATATATCTTAATCATATTTAGTAAGTTTATCTCTAGATATTTAATATTTTATGGAATTATAAACTTTAGAGTATAATACTAAAAATTTTAAATGTATTACATAAACATAGAATACATATACATGCAAACATATATGTATATACATATACATTTATATCAATAGGCTATATGTATGATATAGCAGATGATAGCTGCTTGATAGATATATGATAGATAGAAGATAGATCTAAAAATAGATAGATGCTAGGTAGACAGACTGATAGAGTGATAAACATACAGATAAATAGATATAGGCAAACAAAAAAGAAAGGCAAATAATATTCAAATCACAGCCAAGACCTAGAATAGCTCCACTACTGTATTACCTCCTCATGCCTAGTAAAGAAGGTCAATCATTATATTGACAATCTAGCTCACCGTCTTAGAAACTCAGAAACTTTTGTATATGTAATGTGGCCTTTTCAAGGAAGTCAAAGTAACTGTGGCCACGAAACACAATATTTCAATTAAAATAAAAGGGACAGGAATGTGCACACATACACACGTGTGGACACACACACACACACACAGAGAGAAAGAGAGAGAGAGAGAGAGAGAGAGAGAGAGAGAGAGAGAGAGAGAGAGAGAGAGAGACTTCATGCATCTGGGAAAGGGACCAGAAGAGAAGACAGGGTATGAATGATAAGGAAATAAACAAGAGTAAGGGTAGGGAGTAATTAAAATGCACCATAGAAATGTATAAAATTATTATGCTGATAAAGAAAAAAAGCAATTTAAAACATGAGGGCAAAAAGCTAATCAATAAGATAACACAAATGTTCTAGCTAGGTTTCTGCAGCTGTGATAAATATCATGACCAAAAGCAACTTGGGAGGCACTGCACACTATCAATACTGTAGGAATTTTTGGTGTTGTTTTGATTTGGTTACATCTGTGTCCTGGTTCTTCCATTTTAGAACAGAAAATATGCAACTTACTTTGACTTTATAGGAACACACAATTAAGAAAGTTTCAGCATTTTAAATACACTGAATTTTTAAAATGTCTGAAATTATAAAGACTGTGACATTTTGCATTTTTTAAATGTATGAATTGATATTTTACATTCTAATCCCAGTTCCCTCTCCCTCCTCTCCTCCTGTTTCCCCAAACCCCAACCCCACATCTGCTCTTTGGAGAGGGTAAGACCTCCCCTAGGATGTATACCTAAAGAAACATACATTTTCACCTATGTAGTATTCTGCAAACTTCATAATTTTGTGCTTTGTGCTTCATCCATCTATCTACACTGAGAGCAAGAAGTTTAAATTTTGGCATTCTCTAGAGAACTGAATGGTGTTGACACTGTTTGTTCTTTAAATGATTGCAATGAGATTTCATCGAAATTCTGCAATGAAATTTTCTGGGCCTAGAGTTTCAATATTCTTAATGGATGCAGTACTAATGGGATTTTGCTTCCTCCTGTAAATTTGCTTATCTCTAGGGGAATGATTCATTTCCTCTACATTGTCAGCCAAGAAATAAAGGTGTTCACATTATTCCCTCAGGTTACACTTATGACACCAAGTTAATCTGTTGAATGTGTAGTATGCACAGATGTTTGGACATGTGCAAACCTGTGTGTGTGTGCGCACGTGCGAGCATTCATGTGTGTGTGACTTGTCCTCATAGAAGTGTGCTGAAGATGTGGTCCTCACCATGGTGTCATAGTGGTAGGACATTTAAGAGATGGAGACTCCCCAGAAGGTGTTACCCTATCAGTGTGTTAGGATCAAGCTCAGCCAGTCTCTAGTTTCCTTCTGTGAAATGTATTCTCTTACATTAATATGTTCATCTGCCACAAGATAACACAGTTAAGTGGGGACATGGTTGTTGGGGCCAGTGCAATGATATCTTAAGTTGAAGGGTCCATGACTGAGTGGAATAAAATAATTTTCTGTTTCAAATTCTCAAGCCTTACATAATTCATTATGGCCCCACGAACTTCAAGAAGAGTCTTCCTATGCTGCCTGGGTCTGGTGGCCTTTTTCCAGTGACCAGCTACTGCTTTCCTGGAATTCCTCAGTAATTTTCCCATACGCATTCTCATATATTTCATTGCTATCTTTGTTATTTTCTTTATTTAACTTGATGTTGGATTGTACTTCCCTCCCTAAGTTCTTATAATAGAAGCTTGTATAACAGGCTTGAACCCTGTAAGATTTCTTATATAACAAGAGAATTTAATATAATCAGTTTCCTTCTAAGTACTCCTTTGACAGCAGATAATTCCGAAAATTTTTATAAAGCCATTTTCACATTTACTCAATACAAAACACTCTTTCTCGCATAACATAAACAACATACAACTTAAACTGGGTTAAAGATTCAAACTACAAAATTATTAGGAAACAAAAAAAAAAAAAAGGACAAAATGGGAAAAAAACACAAGAAGCTTCTGCATACCACCAGATTCAATGAACACAGCAGAGCAACATCCAAAGGGAGGGGAGAAAGTATCAGCAGATACTTTATCTCACAAGATGCTGACATACAATAAACACAAATAAAGAAAATAAACACCACAATTAGAAAAAGGCCAAAGGATCTGAAGAGATATCATATAAAGATATGCAAATAACCAGCATATATGTAAAATATTCAACATCACTAATCAT